GCCGCGCCGCCGGGTGAGTAGGGGGGCCGCGGGCCGGGCCGGGCCGGCCTCTCCCTCGCGTGGCACCCGGATCCGGACGAGGGGCCCCGGCCGCCGAGGCCTGCGGGAAAGTTCGCAGTTCGCGGGTCCACGGCTTCCGCCGGATCCGGACTCGGAGCCGCGTTCGCTTGCGGAGCCTGCGGGGCCCGCGCCCGCCTGTGTCCGGCCCGAGGGCAGCGCTGTGCCCCCGCGACCTCCGCCCGCCGGGCCTCCCTGCCATCCTCCTCTCGCTATTTCTCTTTCTCTCTCTCTCTCGCTCTTTTTTTTTTTTTTTTTTTTTTTTGCAGAACCAAGGATTGCACTCGGGCCTTTGCAAAAATCCTTTTTTTAATCATTCATTCATTTATCTATAAATTCCTTTTTTTGCTCTTTTTTTTTTTTTTTTTTTTTTTTTTGGACAAATCGGACTAATTGTGACAAAACGCTGGTTATCTCTGGAAAAACAATTAAATCCCTTCGATTACAGTTAAGGGGAAATGTGCTTAGCGGCGGAAAGCGGCCGGTAATGGGGCGGCCCGCGCCCCCGGTCCGGTCGATATCCCATTACGGCGCATGCATATCTCTTTCAAGCACCTTGCAAACTCCCCCCGAACATCTAAATTATAGGGTCAAAATTCGGATAATTACTCGATTAAAACCTATTACACTTATTAGGGGCCGCTATTGATCTAGAATTGCATTCGACCCGCTCCTGATTGCTTTTCGTGCCCCATCCCCCGCCCCTCCCTCCTCCAACTTCCCGGCGCTGTGCCTGAGCACGCTGGCCGACCGGGCAGAGTAGGTGGCTCTTGGCAGGACGAGGTCGGCACCCGCACTTCTTGCTGGGGGCTAGTTACAGAGCAAAGCTTGGCTTCGGGGAGCACCCCAGGTCTCCACCAAGGAGCTTTTGGAACCTCCGCTCTTCACTTGTTGGGAAATTCATCACCCCCACTTGGCTGTAGCTGGTGTAGGGAGGGAGCGGCGCCGCCGCGCTGGGAAGGGGAGAGGGAGGACGCCTAGGTCCACCAGGAGCAGCTGCTGAGACGGCCAGGGCCCAAGACACCTGCCAACCTTCATGTACCCTGTACCCAGGAGCCTTCCCCGGGGTGAATTAAGTCTCCAGGGCCAGAATCTCAGTGCCACCCTGACAGCCAGGCCTTGGCCCCTCTTGGGCAGCTGCCGGCTCCTCTGGGGTGTTCCGACCACCTGTGGTGTAAGGGCAGAGCTGACCCTCAAAGTGCTGCCCAGAAGAGAGGCTTTCTTCTAAATTCCAAAACCCCCAAGTGTAGAATCCCGAGTGCGTGCACAGCCAGGGCTGGTGCAGGAGAAAGGGGCTGAGTTTCCCAGGCAGGCCAAGCAGGGACAGAAACAGGCCTGGAGGAGCTTGACGCCAGCAGGAGCAGGGCCAGTCCCCAGCCCAGGGCAAGGGCCCTCAGACTTCTGAAATGCTTGGCACTTGGCTGGCCCTTGGCCTGGCATAATTGGAGGGTAATATGCGCCAAAATAAATTAAATGGCCTTTAACTAGCTTGTACATTACACAAAATGAGTTTAATTAAGTTTGTATCTGCCCCTGGATCCACTGGATGTGCTGCTTGCGCCACAGCCCTGGTGCTGGTGCTGGCTACAGTCTGGGCGGCGGAGGGTCCTTTGCTGGGGGGTAGAGGAGCCCTGGGTAGGAGGGCAAGAAGATGTGGGACCAGGGGAAGTGGCCAGGGGAACAAAACCACCCTGGGGAGGCGTGGGGCAAGCTGACCCGCCTCTCTGTCCCAGTCCCTACAGGTTCTAGCGACCCCTACAAGGCAGACGAAGCCGAGGCCAATGGCTACAGCAGTGGTGGTCACAGCCCAAGCGCGGACAGCGGGGATGAGGCCCCTGGTGAGGAGGCTGAGGACGCCTCGAGGGGAGGTAGCAGCCACAGGGCCCGCGGGTCGGGCTGCTCCGGAGCCTCAGATTCAGAGGCAGCTGCTGGTGCTGTGGAGGGAGTTGCAGTCCCTGTGCCCTGTGGGACCTCACCTGGAGCCCCAGGTACACCCGGGGGGTCCACTGCAACAGCAGCGTCAACAGCAGGTGGCACAGGGACAGGCCAGCAGGTTACAGCAGCCAAGCCCAAGAGGAAGCGCACAGGCTCCGACTCTAAGTCGGGGAAGCCAAGGCGAGCACGCACCGCCTTCACCTATGAGCAGCTTGTGGCACTGGAGAACAAGTTCAAGGCCACACGCTACCTGTCGGTGTGTGAGCGCCTCAACCTGGCACTATCACTCAGCCTCACTGAGACACAGGTGAAGATCTGGTTCCAGAACCGCCGGACCAAGTGGAAGAAACAGAATCCAGGTGCTGACACCAGTGCACCGACCGGTGGCGGCGGGGGTGCCGGGCCAGGTGCAGGGCCGGGCACAGGGCTGCCTGGTGGGCTCAGCCCACTTAGCCCATCGCCGCCACTGGGTGCACCGCTTGCCATGCATGGTCCTGCGGGGTACCCAGCGCATGGACCTGGGGGCCTGGTGTGCGCTGCGCAGCTGCCCTTTCTGTCTGGCCCGGCTGTGCTGTCACCCTTCGTGCTGGGCTCACAGACCTACGGCACACCCGCTTTCTACGCACCACACCTCTGAGCCAGCAGGAGCCGGGACAGAGGGCACCAGGACAGAGGGTGGAAAGATCTGGGAGCCTCACTGCGCACCCTGTGGATCAGTGGGTGCCCTGCATGCAACTGGACCCAAGGAAGAGTTTAATTTCTAAAGGACTAAAGGACGGTGTGCGGCCAGGATGCTGGAGCACTGTGCTGAATCTCACCCAATAAACCCGGGAGGCTGTGCCCTAGTCTCACAGGTCTCTCGCCACCCCTTAGCTCCTTGGGAGGGGACCACAGCGCTGGGTCAGGACTGCCCTGCCCCCCCCTCCTGTGAAGCTTCAGCCAGCCAGGGCGGGGTCTCCCATGTCTCCATTGCCTGCTGTGAGGGCACTGCACCACGGGGGCTGGTGAGTGCCTTCGCTGTCACCTCTGCAGGAGCAGATGGTTGGGCTGTGGAGCCTGCACAGCGCTGGAGTGGAGGGGAGGACTGCGAGGCAGTGCCTGCAGGGCGCTGTCCAGAGCCAGCAGCACCGCACAGTTCCCCTCAGGATCCTGTTCCGGATGCAGACTCGCTCGGGCTCACTCAGCCACGCTTGCGCTCCACAGCCGCACGGGTGCTGGGCAGGTGCTGCAGAGATCCCAGGCAGGTGCCCCAGATCTAGAAGGGCTGAGCCCAGCAGGGTCTGGCGGCCCTGGCCAGTGCCCACTCCTCTGCCTTGTCTGTCCAGCAGCTACAGCATCAGCCAAGCCATGTGCCGCTCTCCTCCGGGGGCCTCTACATGGTACCAGCAAGCTGACCACTTGACTTGCCCCTGCACCCTGCCTATCACTACTTGGGGGGAAGGGCAGGGCTTGGGGATGGGTGGCAGTGATCCCCCAGGTCCTGGGCAAGAGTGAGCCGTGTCACACTGGCACAGGCAGAGGTTGAAAGACAGGCAGGGAGGGGCTACCTGTCCACAGCTGCTCCCTGTGCCTGTTCTCTGGTTTCCCCAGGTGCAGCTGCTCAGTAACAGCCCTGGGTGGGCACAGGCCAGGCTGTGAGTGGTGACCAGGGAGCACCCAGCCCCAAGTGGCAGGATTGGGCCCAATGTGACCAGCAGTGCACACGAGGTGCTTGGCCTCATGGTGAGGGCTGAGCTGCAGAAGTGTGGGCAGCTGACAGGAGCCCTGCTCACAGAAGCCCAGATCCCCTGTAGGGTCAGCAGGCTCAGCCAGGGAAGGACCCAGCCCCTCAGGACCTACAATGCCTGCCCCTAGCTGCGACCTCCTGGGCGCCCCAGGACTTCCTAACCTCAGAAGGGATGACAGCAGTGGCTAGAGCAAGCCCATGCAAGTCCAGATACTGTGGCTACACGCAGCTGGCCAGGCAGGGTCACAGGGCAGTGCCCACATCCCGCCGGCCCTACCAGGAGGGTGCTGAGTCCTGGCCAGCTGCGCTGGGTGTGATGGTGTGGGCCAGGGTCTCAAGGCCCGGAAAGTTGTGTCCCAACTGGGCACCCCCCATCCCAGCCACACTGGCCTGGGTGGGGCTGCTCCCTGCACTTCCCAGGTTCTACCAGCCTCCAAGTGTCACTTGTGTGTGCTGAGTCTGGCTGCCCTCCTCGGATCCCTGAGGTGACCTAGCTGTGGCTGTCCTCAGATCTCCAGTGGGAAAACAGGCCTGGCACCTCAGGGGCCCTGCTTTCTCCTAGAGGCACTGGCCAGGCCCAGTGTAACTCCCCAGGGTATAGGGCCACCCCTCTCTCTGCTCAGACTGTGTCCCCCAGGACACATACCCTCATTTCCTCCAGGGCCTAAAAGCAGCCCAGCGTGGACAGCTGTGGGCAGGCTCTGCCAACCCACAGGCACCAGAGCCCTGCACTGTAGGTTAGGGTCTGCCCAGGGTGCATGTGAGAGAGACTAAATGAACAGATGCAAGAGGAGACTTTTCTTGTGTGAGGACACCTGGCCAGCGGCTGCACTGGGCTGGGTCCCACTCAAGTCCTCGGACACCCAGGTCTTTGGTTCACCAGGCTGGGGCCAGGCCTTCATTCTCAAAAACCTGGGTGTTGCAGAGTCTCCAACCACCACAACCTCAGTCCACACTGCACACAGGAAACAGCGGACAGTTCTCAGTGCCCCATGATGAAGGGAAGCTGGGTCACATTGCCACACCTGGCAAGGGATGCTGGGGAGGCTGTCTCCCCAGGTTCTTCCTAGCCAGGCAGCAGGTGCTTCTTGTCACATTGGAAGCCCATAGCCTGGCCAGCAGGTTGCCCAGTGTCCCCAGCTGGACAGTGCTGTCACTTAGCATCTCACGGGGAACTGACTGCACTGCATCTGTTGTGTTGCCCTTGGGCTGCCCTGCCCTGTCCCCATTGCCCCTTGTACCACCTGGGGGTATGCTGTAGTAGCTCTGTCGGGGTGATGTCCCCAGGGACCCAGGCCCTCCTGGACTGCCCACCACACCTCAGTCCCACAAGGGGCCCCATGGCCCCGCCGTCTGGTCAGCTGTCCTGGACTCTGGTCCCTCCTGAGCCCCAGGGGTCTCCTCAGCGGGCAGCTGCCTCTGAGAACCTGGAGCTGGACACCACCCTAGCACATCCTTCCCGGGCCACTTCACACCCCAGGCCTCTCCATAGAGCCCCACACCTCAGTGACAGGTCCTCAGTGCCCACCACCACTTCTTCTGGACAATCCTGTAGCTCTGGGAAAGCAGAATGCATTACAGCTGGGCACCAACTGTGTCTCAGGACCTGAGACTAGGTCTGGGCATGAGCCTGTGAGCAGGCGTGTAGGGGAGAAGGGTTCTAGGAAAACATGGGGACCTGTGAGGAATGTCCTAGCAGGCAGATGCACATCCCCCTTTCTGTGGATCTGCGATGGCTGGAGCCCCAGCAGCCACCGTGGGACGTGAGATGGCCTGGAGGACAGAGGCTTTGATGTTGGGCCAGAAGCTAGAAGAGGCAGAGTCGAGATGGCACCTCATGGCCCCCACAGCCTGGACACCCTTGGGCAGCGGCTGACAGAACAGAGCCCCGCCCTGTTTATAACACACTGCTGGCCTTTAATTTAATTATTTGTCCTTTTTTATTTATTTTTGTAGCAAGAATTGAATTCAGGACCTTGTGCTCACCACGCAAATTTTTTTCCTTTTAAGACAGGGTCTCCTTATGCAGTTTGGGCTGGCCTTGAGCTCACTTTGCAGCCCAGGCCAGTCTCACACTCAATAGGATCCCCCTACCTCAGCCTCCTGATTGCTGGGATTAAAGGCATTAAAGGCATGCGCCACCATGTGCAGTCTTGGCTTTTATTTTTGTGTTATTTATTTTTGGTTTTTAGTTTTGTGTCCTAAACCTGCTTTTTTTTTGGGGGGGGGGAGGGCAGGGCTGGCTTGGCACATCGTGCCAGGGATTGAACCTCAGTCCCCTGCAGCACCTGCCTGAACTTGCCTAAGCAGGTGCTTTAGAATGCTGTGCTATCTCATCGGCCCCCAAACCTGAATTCTAACAACCTATTCCATAAGGGTGGCCTACCCAAGAACTGGGGGCTGTGGCTTGCACCCCGCCCACCCACTGCCAGCCAGTGGACACCCACTAAGCTGGGCCCAGCCTTGCCCACTGACCCTGCCTCTGTGCCCCCAAGAGCACTGACCTGGGACTGCCGACCCTGCGGCCCCTCCTGCCAGCCCAGGGCTGAGCCTGAGCCTGCATGTGGTGGCCCTCTGGCCTGTCTCCAGGGCCACCTCCCCTGTGCCCAACTTCCCTGCCTCTGGGGCGCCTGTTGGTACCTGCATTGCTCACATAGTGACATGGCAGCTCGCGAGGCCCCAGGACCCCTAAAACATATACAGCACCAGGGCGACCCCATCTGCAGGTTCAAATCCGTAATGACCTCTCCCAGCTCCTCACACTCCAACTCTCCTTCACCTGGACACAGGCTAGCGAGAACCCACAGGCAAGAAAGTAGCAGGCGTCCTGCACCAGAAAGGGGAAACCGAGGCATCGACACTGACGGGGCCACCAAGGCAAGGTTTTGACCCCTCAGCAGTGAGAGGACAGGGACAGGGACCTGAGCACTGCAGCACAGCGTGCTGAGGCTGGCGTGTGTGCGGCGAGCAGCTCTCAAGTTGCGTGCATGTTCTGCAGCAGACTGAAGGGAAAGCTCAAGAGATGAGATCTGGGAAGTCCTGAGAACATGGAAATAAAACCACACACTCCTGAGTAACCCAATGAGTTAAAAAAGATTAGAAAACACTGAGGATTAAAAATACGACAAGCCAGCTGGGTGTGGGTGTGGGGTGGCTGGCTAGCATCTCTGCACTTGGGAGGCTGAGGCAAGAGTTAGAGGCCAGCCTGGAAGGACTACATAGTGAGACCCTGTCTCAGACAACCAACACACACTGGGTGTGGTGGCCCACGCCTGTAACCCCAGCACTCAGGAAGCGAGGCAGGAGGACCACTGTGAGTTCAAGACCAGCCTGGGCTACAACGTGAGCTCACAGCCAGCCTGCGCTGCATAGTGAGACCGTCTCAAAAAGAAAAAAGGGGGCTGGGGGGATGGTTCAGTGGAATAAGCGCTTCCCTGGCAAGTGCAAGGACCTGAGTTCAACCCCCCAACCCGCCAAAAAAAAAGTTAAGGGATAAACAATTCTTAGATGAAAATGTATAGTTGTGAACAGCTTTATTAAAAAATAAAGATTTCCAGTTAATAAGTTAATCTTATTTTAAGAAAAAATACAGAAAACTAAATCCAAAGTAACCCAAAGGAAATAATGAGTAATGGAAATCAATGAAATAAATAATACAAAAATAATATGGAACAATCAAAACCAAAAGTTATTTCTTAGAATATACCAATAAAATTATGTCTTCAGACTGATCAAGGGAAAAAGGGAAGGTGAGGAGACCGTTATCATGACCAAAATCAGGAATTTCTATAAACAACTATAGTTCAACAAATTCCAATAAATAAGAAATGGACAACTGATTCAAGGAACAGAAGCTAACCAGCCTGCAGCCTGTGATTGGTGGCCACAGACAGTGTGCTTGTCACGGCTGCGGCTGCGTCACACCACCCCCCAAAGCCTCATGAGGTCACAAGTGTGTTTTTTTCAGATGGCTAGATCTGAAGTGTGTGACCCTGGGATTGACTCATGTGCGATGCTAGGCTCAGGGGCACCAGGATTAGGGGTGTGAGTGCTGCCTGCCCCGAGCAGCCTGGATAAGTCAGGAGGGACAGAAAGAGCCGCGGTCGACCCTTATTGTTTCGCAGCCTCTTGCCCAACATGGACTGTTTCTCCTTGGCTATCCCTGTCTGCCACACCACCCTGCCTTGGAGCCAGCTGGCTATGGACTGAACCCTCCACGAACTGTGAGCCAAAGAAAGCTTTCCTCCTCCTTTAACTTTGGGCACTGGGTATTTAGTCTCAGCAATGAGGGAAGTAACCAAGACAGTAATAAATGCCTCACAAGGGTCAGCCAGGGCCAGATGGCGGCCTGTGTTCACTCCACCACCTGAAATAAGAACACCAACCCTTACACACCGCTCGCAGACACAGGTGAGACAGGGACACTGCCAGCTCATTCCGTGGCCATAGGACCTCAACACCAAAGCCAGATACTAGAAAACCACACACAAAATTCCATCGCTTGGGAATAAGTTTTTAAAAATAAGCTGAACCACATGCTGTGCTGGCCCCATCCCTGGGCACGCTGAGCTGGCCACCAAAACTGGGCGTGGTGGCACACGCCTGTAATCCCAGAGCGGGGGAGGCTGAAAACAGGAGGATCATTACGTGTCTGAGCTGCACAGTGAGACCCTGTACCAAATACATAAAAATAAAATAAAAAATAAAAACCATAAGCTGAATGAAGATCATTTATGGAAAACAGTATGTTTTTTCTAGATTTAAAACTTTTATTACCCTTTAAAGATCATTTTGTTAAAAAAGGTAATACAATATCTTGTTTATAATATCATAATTCAAAATTATGTATATGACTTACAGAGTTGTATAATCATGTTTGCTTCAAATATCTAAACTTATTGCTTGGATTTCTAATGAGACCTAATGAATTTGATGATGTCAAAATGTTTATAGGGTTTCTGTTTTCATTTTAAAAATTAGATTATGCTATCGGTAACATTCTATATAAATAAACGTACAATAGAAAATAGCAGATAACATAAATATGTAAATACCAATTTGAAGATATTTGTTGTCCAGTAATAATTATTTAAATACTCCTGGATTTTTAATAATATATGGTTTTAATTTTTGCTATGTGTATACCTACATGATGAAATGAATTAAATATTAAGAACTCCAAATAAAATTAAAAAAAAAAAAAAAAGCCGAAGACTCATACACTAAGAACTACAAAACACTGTTAAGGACTACTCAAGCATATGAAAAGACGACCGAGTTCGTGTGTCAGAGACTTCACACTAGGATGGCCGTACCTGAAAGCCATCCCCACATCCATGCCATTCCCATCAGAATTCCTTTTTTTTTGGTATTTTGGCAAAAATTGATCTTAAAATTCACATGAAGATGCAAAGAACCCAGAGCAGCCCACACCATCCTGAAATAATGCAGTTGGGAAGACTCCTGCTCACCCAATCCAAAAGTCAAGTAACCCAGCATGCAGTGCTGGTGCAGGGTGTGCACGCCACAAGCCAGGAGTCAGAGTCTAGAAGCTCTGGGCCCACCCTTTGGGCCACCTGACTATCAACCCTGTGCTCAGCGAGAAGGACAGGCCTTCATCAAGTGTGTGCGACAAGCAGCCAGCCACACGCTGGGTGCTGGGCACACATGACTCACCTATGAAGAGCTATAACCACAGCACTTCTGCAGAAAACAGCAGTGACGCGCAGTCACCTGAAGTTCTGCACTGGTTCCCAGATGTGACACCAAAAGCACAAGCAAGAGAAGAAAAAGACAGATAAACTGGACTCCATAAAGATTTACAGTGGCCAGGGAGATAGCTCGGCATCCTAAGTGCCTGCCTGGCAAGCACAAGGTTCCGAGTTCAATCCCTGGTACCCCCCCAAAATTTTTTACAGTATTTGTGCTTTAAAGAGCACTATTAAGAGGGGAAGGGGCAGACAGGGACAGAAGATGAGCAAGTCATGTAGGAGGCGGCGGTACTCAGATACCTACAAAGTCCTGCACAAACAGCCCCATTCAGCGAGATCTGAATAGTTATCCCCCAAAGGTAAAACAATGGTCCATAAGCACGTGAGAAATGTCCAACATCTCTCATCAGAAAAATCAAATCGAAATGAAGAGACTGCAGGTGCTGGCCCACACCAGTCACACGGCTCCTCAGGAGGAGCCGACAGGAGAGCTGCAAGTTCAAGCCCAGCCTGGGCAACACAGTGATTCAGTGAGGCCCTGTCTCAAAATAAAACACTATAAAAGGCTGGTAATTTAGTTCAGTGCGAAGGTCATGTATTTGATCTGCAGTACAGGAAAGAAAACAAAAGTAACACTCCATACCCAGTAAGACTTAAATTGGAGGGAGGTTAGTGAGTTGGCACAAATGTGGAAAAATTGGGCCTTCGGCTAAGGCACAGGGGTGTGGTCACCTGGGAAGACAGTGTGACCCTCACGGAAGGGGATGATCACTATGCCAGGTAGCAGCACCGACCCCAAGACACAGAAGGCATGTCCACACAGCGACAGCACTCTGAGGCACTGCTCATGGACCCCCGGAGGGAACAGCCCAGGTCAGAACGTGGTGCATGAGATACCAGGACATCCCCAGCAGTGACGTGTGTGATGGTGTGAAAGAGGAGGAAGGAAGGAAGCCAGAGCCGACAGGCTGCACACTGAGCCTTTGCCTGTCTGGACCACCCAGAACAAGTGCTGCAGGCTGGGGAGCGAGGCATTGCCTGGGATGAAAAGCTGGGCCTGCTGTGTGTAAGAGGCCCCGTGCCACTTCAACGGTGACCACCTGTTAGGCATGGCAGCCACTAACGACCAGAGGGGGCTTGGTGCTCCACATCCGGGAGACAGCAGGCTGGGTACAAGTGCATCCCTGGTTCTGAACAGGGCGCTGTGCGCACAAACCTCAGGCAGGTTGCTGCCCCTGCCCGCTGCACCGGATGATCGCTAACCCTAACCGAACCAGGCCCCACTGCGCCACCCTGGCACGTCACAGGAGGCCAGCACTAGTTCAGCGCATAGTTGAACTGGTTTGTGAACTTCTCGTGCTTCTTCTGGTCCACGTGGTTCATAGCAGCAGCCACCCTCTGCACCGCCGCCCTGTGGGGATGAGCAAAGCAGGGGCTCTGAACAGGTGCAGGGTCCATCCTGCACAGGAAACTGCCCTTGGCCAAGGTCCCCCAGCCCAGAACCTAGCAGCCTCCAGATCTCTGTCCTGCACAGCAGCCAGGGCTGGGGGGCGTGGGGCCCGGGACAGCCTGGTGCCACAGAGCCTACCATGCCGTACTCCAAGCCACCTATGGGGCCAGCTCCTGGCCTTGCTCCAGCCACGGGCCTTCGGTCCCTAGGAGAGCACGGGGAGAGCTCCTGAGCCGCCCACCTCAGCCCCCCTCCCCCACCCTCGCAAGGCCACTGCCCCATGGGCCCCCAGGGCCGGCCGGGCAACACCACCAGTTAGCAGGCTCCTGGCATTCCCCTTGGCAGGCGGTGGCAGCCTCACAGGCTCCAAGGACAGCAAAAACACCGTGGGCACGTGTGCAAGGAGGCAAGGTGAGGCTCAAGAGCAGGGGTCTGCTGACTAGGCTGGAGACCAACACCACACTGTACCCCAGGTGGCAGTGGGGCGATGTATACAGTTACAAACCGCCCAGAGATCACCATGGCAACAGCATGCCACTAACTAGGGGCGGCAGGCAGACATGGATGAAGTACATGCTCACCCCACCCGCCTGCCGGGGCCACCAGTAGGGGAAGACAAGGTGGCACCCCAGGAGACAAACAGGGTGTCCAGAGCAGCTCTCAGCCCTCCCCTCAGAGGATGTGGGGGTCCCTAGGGAGATGCCTGCAGCCTGGGGCACAGCAGCAGCCCTTACTTGGAGAAGATCTTCTTCTTGAGGCGGGCCCGTGAGGTGCTGGCCTGTGCCCGCACATCTGTGAGCTTTGGGTACTTTCTTCTCTTCTCCTTGCCCTTCCCACTGCACCGGGCTGAGCCGAGGTCCACCCCTGTGGCCACCTCCACATCCTTCATGAACTCGGGGTCCTGCCAGTCTAAACAAAACCCACACCTTCAGGAAACACCAGCACCAACCCAAGCCCTTGGCCCCAAGGGACACTGCATGGGCCTCACCCCCAAGAGGCGGGGTGAGGGGGTCAGGCGACAGGAGCAGGGAGGCTGGTCCCACATCCTGCAGGAGTCCTAGACGCCCACAGCTCAGATGGGCCAGGGAAGAGCCAGGCAGGGCCCAGAGGCCACTCCTGGTGTGGCTCAGGCTACATCGCAAGCTGCTGGCCATGCCACAGTGGGGGCCCAGCATCCTCAGGGGCCAGGACCTGGGCAACTGCACCCTCTATTCTCTCGTTGACCAAGCACGTGACAACTAAGTGACCTCCCACAGGTCCGGCACTCCAACAGTGTCCAGTGGTACCCCATGTGCTAGCAGAGGGCAGGAATGGGGCACAGGGCACCAGAGAAGCCAGGCTGAGGGCCCCTCAGACGCATGGCACAGCCTCCCCCAGCTGATTTTTTGCAGTGAAGGAACTCGGGGCTCCATGACTCAGATACAGGGACGATTAATCCAAGATTAAGGAAAACTGTCTAAACAGTTTATCTCCCAGTAATAAGAAGGCGTCACAGTTTAGGAACCCAGTGAATGGAGCAATTGTTTAAACACAAGGAAAAACGGCGGCCTCCAGTGGAGATGGAATGGACACCTCAGGAAAATGAAGGAGCAATTTAAAAGCCTTTGAAGAAAATCAATAGATGCAGGCTGCACGGCCTTCCTGGGCTCCGATGGGCCCTGGGGCGCCGCATGCATTGTCACTGAGGTTAGTGCCAGGGAAAAGAAAATTGCCCCGTGTGTGAGGGAGGCGGGATCAATACTGCAGTTAGTAAAGAGACGCTATTTCACATTTGACTGGCCAGCGGCTCAGGCCCGCAGCCTGATACCTGTTTGTTAACAAGCCACTGAGGGCTGGAAAACCAGATACTCTTCAGGGCTGACACAAAAATAGGCACTTAATTTGCTCCAGAGTGTGAGCCACCAGGGAAGGGCTCGGCCCGGAGATTAACAGGTCAGGCCCTCCCGCCACTGGGGCCCAGGCCCTGTCTCTGGGCAGCTAAGTCTCAAGGGTGAGAAGCCACAAAGGGGCTTGCGCAAGGGTGCCCTCCCCCAGGACAGGCCAGACAGACCCTGGGCCAAGCCAGACCCAAGCCTGGCCAGCCCAAAACACCGCAGGGTGGCTCAGAACCACCCTAGGAGACATGGCCTGGACCTGGCAGTGGCAGGGACATGGGGGGGGAGTGTATCACTTGCCACTGGCCCTGCTGTTCAGGGCCCATGGCTAGGTGGCCAGCAGGGCACCGCCTACTCCTGCAAGACACCATGGGGCTGCTGAGGCCAGCAGAGAACCCACCCTGGCCACACTACCTGGGCCTTCTGGAGTAGGTGCATCCACAACTACCTGAAGCTTCCTGCATGCCCCTGGGTCCCCCAGCACCCCTCAGTCATGTGGCTTGGGGCCCACCATGCTGCTGGGCGGCCCAGTGGCAGAGTCCGCTGTGTCCACCCTTGAGCTACCTGGGCACTTTGGCTGCTGCCACCGCCGCTGCTGCTCTCGGATCCTGTCCTCTGGGTCAAGGGGCTGTCCCGCGTCGTCTCTAGGAATGATCTTCCCATGGAAAGGGCACTGCAGAGCAAGCACAGAGGGGCTACTAGCTGGGACATGTTCCCTTCAGAGGGGTCCTGGGAGCTGCAGGGTCAGAAGCTCTGTCATCTTCCTGTCTGACAGCAAGAGCAACAACAGGGGCCGGGGAGACAGCTCAGTGGAATAAGTGCCTCCTTGGCAAGCGCGAGGGTCTGAGTTCAACCCCCGGTTCTGCCCCCCCCCCCAAAAAAAAAACCCAAAAAACAAAAAAGAGCAACAGTGCCATGCAGGCCTGGTGGTGCACTCTCAGAATGCCTTACTCTAGGAGGCTGAGGCAGGAGGACAGCAAGTCTGAGACTAGTCTGGGAAACTTAATAACCTAGTGAGACTGTCTCAAAATAAAAAATAAAAAAGGGCTTGGGGGGCGCTCAGTGGGAGCCCTGAGTTCAACCACAAATACAAATAAAAAGGATCCCAGGCCCCAGTCCATCCGTCTGCAGTCATTTCCCTCGTCCCGCTCCCTCCACCCAGGGAGTCCCCACTGGGCACCCTGGCCTCCTGGTGCTCAAGCACCTAGCCCTTTGTGCACCCCAGAGGACAACTATGTGGACTGTGGCAGTGGGCAGGAGGCCGAGCAGGTTCTGACTGCTGTATCCTTGCGGCTGGCCTAACTTGCAGCTCACCTTCAGCCGGTCCTGACGCTCACAGAGCCGGCCATCGGGCCTTGGGGCTCGGCAGCGGTGCTGCACGGGTTCAAACTTCCCTGCGAAGGTGATGCGGCGGCTCCGGAGCAGTTCACAGACGTCCGCACTGTCCACCTCCCCCTCCACCTCGCTGGGCTTCCAGAAGCGGTGCTCGGAGTCGGCTCTGCAGAGCAACCAGATCGACAGGGCACCTCGCAGGGCCTGGACCAAGGTGGCTACACCCCACCTGTGGGCAGCATCCCCTTGGGCCAAACCTGGACACCATAGTAACCAGCAACAAGACCAGGGCCCCTCCCCACTGTGCCTCCACTGGCTAAGGGCCCAGGCTAAACCCTGCTGGAGCAGCCACCATTGGCCTCTGATGGCTGCTGAAGATAGTAAAGCACACTGTGACTCTGTGAGGCAGACAGGGAGTGAACCCCAGGAGAGCTGCTGGGGATACTCAGGACCAAGGCTGGATTCAGCTTGCACCCCGGTGCACTGTGTCCATCCTTGGGGACATGATGTCCCTCAGCCACCTCAGCCACTCTGGTACAGTGAGGCTTAGAAGCAGCAGCTGTTTCCAGGGAGCACAGGCCATAAGCCATGCCAGGCGGGCACACGAGAGCAGCTGCGCCCTTAGGAAAGGAGCATGCTGCGGGCCTCCTCAGCAGGGCTTGGCACTGCCCAGGCCTGATGTTTCATGGTACTGGGCCTTGGGAAAGCTATGGCACAGGGTACACGTGCCCACCCATGGCCCACAGGCCCTGGATAGACTGGGGCAGTGGCCACACTTGCCTAGTGCCTCCACTCCCAGGTTGGCAGAGACTAGTCACTTTGGCCAAGTGCCAGCCCAGGTGTGTGGAGGGTTAGATCTCAGGGCTCTAGGTCCTGATGATGGCTGAACCCAAGCCGACAACCCATCTACCCTACCACTTGTCCTACTGTGAGGCCAGGCTTCAGCTGCACCCACTGCCCCAGAACCAGGGCAGGCCACGTGGCAAGAACACAGGTCTTGTGGGTGTGTCTGGTTGTCAGACACTCCAGGCAGAGTTCCCAGGTGCCCCTAGGGAGCAGGACCCCGAACACAGAGGCCTCTGTCTTGTCCACCCACCTGTCAGCTGTACATGCAGGCAACCACCCCCATGGCAGCAGCCTCTCTGGACTCAGAGGCTACTGCTGCCTGTGGCCACGGCGTAAGTCTGTGGTGGTGAACCTGTGGTACACACACAGCAGGCTGTCTGTATTAAGGCCAAAAGGTTCATTACCACTGGTGCAGATGGTCAAAGCTGGGTGCATCAAGCCCTTGCTCTTGTACTAAGCCGCCTGCCATCAGAGTCTGGTCGAGGGCTTAGACCAGGGCTCTGCTGGCCACAGAGCCTCCTGGGAGGGAGCAGAAGGTTGAGGTCCACGTGGGCCTAACTATTTGGCCCCTGCTATGGAGAGCCTCAGCAGGTCAGGGCTGTGTGCCTATGTCCTCATGCTATACAAAGGCCAACCTGCCCCAAAGGAACAGCAGCAGGGTACAAAAAGCCCAGGCCCAACTGGGCCCGCTGCACCCCAGGGACAGCATGCCTGCCTGCACTCACTTGAAGATCTTCCCAGCCACCTGTTGTTCCTGGCCCCAGTAGCACAGGTCCACGCCAAAAGGCACAACAGGTGCCCGGGCTCGCTCTGCAGCCAGCTTCTGGGCCTCTTCAGGCTTCAGTGGAGCCCTGGAATAGGGTAAAATATGACGACCACCACTCCCTCCCACCCCACCGTGAGCCCAGAGCTGCAGGGTAGCAGGAAGAAGCCGTGGCCTCCACCCTCTGGGCCTAGGCTTCACCCTGCCCTGGCTCAGGGCTCAGCACAAGCTCTGACCTTAGTCCCTGGCCTGTCTCTGGGCTTCCTGATGCATGTCCCTAAACCCCGAGCAGCAGCCTAGCCACGGGGCCTCTGACAGGGGAGACTGGTAGCCGCTGTACCCAGCTGATGCACTGACACTTTAAGGAACGTGCCCGGTGTCCCTGCCTGGACAGATGTTAGCTGGTGCCTCCTGCAGGGGGCGGGGGTCTTGGAGCCAACCCAGGCTGGCTGCGTTCTGGAGCAGCAAGGAGACCGGAGTCACCTGGCAGGAGAGGGTGGGGCAGGGGGCCGGCAGCCCTGCAGCCGACACAGCTGAGCAGCAGCAGAGGTGGGGTCTGACACCTCCTCCTCCCTCTGTGTTCTCCGCGCCTGAGCAACGCTTGCAACCGCGTCTTTCTCCAGGGTCTGCGGCAGGGCCTCCAGCTCCAGCCCTGAAACAAGATATGAGTCCACCTGACCTCCACGCAAACCTGAGACGGAAGCTCTACGCTGCCACCCCGTGCCTGCGTGCACGCACGTCATCCTCTGACAGCCCTGAAGTGGCCCCAGCACTCCACCTCTTGGGCAGGGTCATACTTGGTGGGCACCACGGACGATGCAGGGCAGGATCCAGGTGGACATCTACCCTGGTCTCTGCAGCTGGTTGGCCCAGTCCATAGGCACTCCTTGTGAGGACCCAGGGCGAGGCCACCCCAAAGCACAGTGGATACCCTGGCTGAGCCTCCAGTTCTTTCCTAGCCCTCTCGTCCTGACATCTCCACCCCAAGTTTGGCCCAGGGCATTCCTCACTTAGCTGCAGCCTCTGAAAGGTGCCAGGGCCAGTTGGAGCTGTCCTGGCCCTGGGCCTGGAGTTAGGTTCCTTGCAGTGCTGGTCAGATGCCCAGGTCCAACCAGGAGGGGCATCATTGCGGATGCAAACATTGCCCCCAGCTGGATGAGGCCACAGTCCTACAGCTTTACCAACTTCCCCATGGAATATGGTAGAGAATGCTAACTTCATGTAGCCAAAAAGATAAGGGTAAAGACCCCTCCGTAGGGGCCGGGTAGATGGCTCAGTGGAATAAGCACTTCCCTGGCAAGCACAAGGGCCTGAGTTCAATCCCCAGTTCCACACACACACACACACACACAAGACCCCTCCCTCCTTGGCCTGCTCCACCCTGCCCTACTCCCCATCAGGGTCCAGGCGATACCTGGTCTGGCTCTTAGGCTGCCAATGGCAGGGACCACCCCATCTTCAAGGTTCCTGGCAGGTAGGCAGAGGAGGTATCAGAGTCTGGATTAGAACTTGTCCCAAGGGCAGGCAGCCTGAACCAAAGCCCCTCCTCCCCAGTGCTCACCAGCTAACCAAGGGTAGAACATGGACTGGCAGGGAAGCTGAGGCTTCCAAGAGTATGAAGCCAGGGAAGAAAAATGACCAATGAGCAATGTTTCCCAGGCCAGACAGAAAATAACATGCTCCACATTCACAGGATGCACACAGGCATGCGGTAAACCCCCTCCATTGAGGAAAAAGGCAGAAAAAGACAGAAGAAGTTACTCGCTGGGCCACAAAGGGCAGAGGACAGCAGAAGCCAGTAAGCGGCACTACACTGAGGATTGGAGGTATGGTATGTGAACACCCAAGATCGCCATCCTCAAGTCTGGCATCCTGGAGGGGGAAAGCAGCTGACACAAATTCTGCAACTGGAAGAGTCACTGGGGGCCAGAGTGAGAACCAGCTGGTGATGCTGGGAAGCCAAGCACGCTAAGGACAAAGAGAAGCTGCAGGTTGAGAGACACTCAAGGTACCCAGCTAGTGTATCACAGGAGGGAGTAGGACAGACTGAGGGACGACAAGCAAATCAGAGGCTGGGGTCTGCCTGAGAGGAAACCACATGCTCAGCCCGCACGAGGCCTTGGCCTCAGTCCACAGCACTGCAGACTACACAAGAAAAAGCATGAGTGACAAATCCATTGGGAAACCAGGAACAACCAGCATGGAAAACTAGCAGGTGCAAAGCTATTCTAGAAAATGAAAGGTGGAAGAGGAGGAAAACCAAACAGCAAGAGCAGAGACAGCAAATCAAAAAGGAAGTGTGGTCGGCAGAAGCACAGGGGGTTTGAAGGAGCAGCAACCCAACGCGCACCCCAGGAGGCCTACTGGCAGCTCAGGGGCTGGAGATGCAGGACAGCAGGGGGTACACATGCAGCAGGAAGTCTAGATTTTAAATTACAAGAAGTCTGGATTTTGGGGCTGGAGAGATGGCTCAGTGGTCTAAAGCACCTACTTAGAACAAGCTTGGCAAGGCATCAGGGACCGCGGTTCAATCCCCCAGCACCACATGCCAGCCAGCCCCGCCCCCTGGTGGGCTGAGCTGGCCACACACACACACACCACTCTCTCTCTCTCTCTCTCTCTCTCTCTCTCTCTCTCTCATAAATAAAAAAAAAATTAAAAAAAAAAAAAAGAAGTCTGGATTTTAAGTTAAGATAGCACATAAGAAAGGGGCACATGGGGCGGGGGAGATGGCTCAATAGAATAAGCGCTTCCCTGGCAAGTGCAAGGGCCTGAGTTCAATCCCCATGGACAGATGTGCATCTCAAGTGAAGTCCAGAACCATGGACAGATGTGCATCTCAGTACAGGGTATGACCCCATCGGCCGAGGTGGTGACAGACCTTGCTCGGCCCAGGGAGAGGCACTGCAGCCCAGGTCTACCTGACAGGACACAAGGTGCCAGCTGCCCTTCAGGACACCCTGGTAGTCCCATCCACATGAGGAAAGCCACTCAGCTTACACTGTTAGACTGCTTCTTAGTTAAGGCACAGGACAGTGACCTCATAGCCAAGAACACTTCCTGTCCAGGCCTGAGGACAAGTGTGCTGGCCCCTCTGACAGCAGAAGGCATGATAAGGCCATGCGAAAGGCAATGGCTCAAAGCTGCCTATGCTCCAGGGCCCTGGTAGGTACCTGGCAGAGATGCCAGGCAACCCCACATGGCAAACGCTATCCCCGGTGTCACTTATAAAACTTGGAAATACCCCACTGGCAGGGCGCCCGTCGCCCCCCACGTGCACACACAGCTGGGCCGGCAAGACTGGTAAGTGAACAATGTGACATTTAGATAGATACAATCGCAGCCAGAGATCAATATGAGAATTCCTGAGAGTTACAAGAATGAAATATATTTTTCATTGATTTGTTGTTTTAAACCATTAGGAAGATGGGTAAGCGTGTTAGAGCAGGGTAAACACTCAGGGCACCCAACACACTACCATTTTCACACTGTCGTGGAAAATCAATCTTACTGACAGACTTCCAAAGTAAGCCCCAAAAGCAGAGAGCCCTCTGCAGGCTGAGACCGTGTCCAGGAGAGAGAAAGGCATCCTGGCCACCACGGCCTATGGCGTCTGATCCCAGCACGATGCCTTCCCCCAAATGGACTCCTGAGCTTGCTTTCAGACTCAAAAAAATGTCCAGATGCCCCTTTTTGTTTACACTGGCCAAGTGGCACCTATTTGCCTGAAGCACTAAAGCAGACAGTGCGAGAGATAAATCGATAGCAGGAAACGGAGAGGCTGGGGCTCCGCACGAAGTTAGGCTGCCGCGCCTGACATTATTGATTCTACCTCGTTCAGCTGGCCTTGTAATTAAAATGTAAATTTGAGAAAGAGATTATGTCCTGACAGAAATGGTAGGATTAAGGGGAAGATAAAAGGCCCTCCATGAAAATTCAGAGAAAGAAATGAGAAAGAAAAAGAGGCTGATTTCCTCAGTCGTGTGGATTTAGACTAAATCTAACTACTTCAGATTCACCTACGTTTAATTGAAAAAACGACAACAGAATATAAACTAGTATTATGAACTGAGCTGGCCCCACACAGTTCCTAGGGGCCTCCAGGGCTCCAGAGCAGAGGGTTTCATCAGGGACCAAGGGTCTTCTCTCATCTGAGCCCCTCCAGTCCTGTCTAACTCTGCAGCCCAAGCCTATGGCCTTCTTCTGAGTCCTCGGGCTTAGGCCCTGGGATGCGCAGAGTGCCAGACCTGTGCACCCCTGTGGCTTGCTAGAGACCAGGGGGGGACAGTGCCTGCCCGGGATGCGCAGAGTGCCAGACCTGTGTACCCCTGTGGCTTGCTAGAGACC